GCAAGTTCCAAAAAAAAGTACATGCGTCCAGCGCATGGGTAGCTCCTGGCTACGTATAAGTAAAGCTTAGAGGACATCCGAATCAGTATATGAAAGACAAGGTGAGAGGCAACCACATAGACCTGATCAACGGGGCATGAGGGCCCCATGTCTATTGACTCATTGACCTCCGCACTTTCCGGCTGACCCAGTCAGACAGCATGGTGTCCAGCTGATTATTCATCTCCCTCAGCCTCTTGCTCTCGTCTTTGAACAAGTTACCGGTTATTGGATGGTCAGGGCCGGCAGGAGGGATGTTAGTATTGTCATAGACAATAACATAGAGGTCACGGAGCTCTTTGTCGTCTTCCAAGTACGAGCGCAAGCTAGCATCGCTCCAGGTCGGAGTCGGCACTTCGAACGGTGTCGACGCCGACTCTTCACGCCTACCGTCCGTCGAGTCAGCAGGGGATGAAGGTGACTCGGGTGAGACTATATTGTCTCCAGTAGGCGATAAAACACCGGTCAGTTCTGGCACGCCCGGGGACGGCCTCTGGTGTTCCAAGGGCGAGGAAGGGCTGACAGGTGATTCAAGAGCCCGGGTTTGATATTCTGGCCCTTGCTTTGGGGGGAATTTCTGCGGCGGCGATGTAACAGAATGCGGCACGTAAGGCCCTTGGCTCGACGGATCGCGCCAGTCGTGCGGACTTTCAATTGGAGACGTGACCTTCTTGATGGGACTTGAGGCCGCGACAGGGCTTGAAGGAGCATGTCTATCAACTTCGTAGTTTCCGGGACGCGAAGAACCTGCGATCTCCTCAACTTCATCCAGCACCACTTGACGTATTGTTTGTTCCGGCTTCTGGTTCTCTCTCGCCGGTGTTTGTTCTTCGGTGCTCTGCTCATCCATCCTCAACTCTTCTGGTGCTTGTTTCTGCAGCTTAATAGTCTGTCTCTGTGGCCCGGGTTGGTTCGCAGAGCGCGTCTCCGGGGATGATACGGAGTCCGAGGACGTCTTGGGTGTTGGCGATGATCGAGACAATTCATTCGAATGCTTCTCAACGTCTTCCCCATCATCTTCCGCTCCTTTGTTTTTCTTGTCCTTTCTCTTGAAGAGACCGCTGAGCATGCCGGGCTTCTTGTCCTTTTTCTTTTTGTCATCCTTGACCTTTTCGTTGGAGTTGGTTTTATCGAGAGCTTCAAGACTGATGCGGGGCTGGAGATGAAATGAATATTAGTTGCCAGGAGAAAGAAAAAAAGAAAAAGAAAAGAAAGTGGAGTGACGCTTCACATACCTCCTTTGGTTCATTTGAAGAACCACCAATCTCATCACGTAGAAGGTTGGGGGTGAGAGAAATCTTTTTGGTTTCGACGGTGTCATCCTTGAAAAAGGAGTCGGTGTTTCTGACGGTTCCGTTTCTTGACCTGCTGACGGTAACTTCTGACGACGGAGATAGCGGCTCATCCCCTTCAAAGCTGTCGCTCGATCTCTGCTTCTCTAGGCTAGCAGTGGAATCCTCTGCTTCTTGGATGTTCACTGTCAGCCCGGATCCATTATTACGCTGCGACTTGGGTCTCAGTGGCTCGACAACAATATCCTCGTTCTTTTCGTCACGTGCGTCATGTTGTTCCCGCGCAGCATACTCATCAGTGAAAGACACGTCGTCATCTTCTTCTTCCGTTGAATAGTCGACATCCGAAGCTTCAATGTATGTTGGGCTAGTGAAGGCGACAGTCTTCGCATTTCTGCGTCGCATCGCCTTCTTCAGCGGATTTTTCGATTTCTCTGAGTTGTCCCCAAGCATGGTCGCAGAAAGCTACTTTTTTGTTAGCAGTATTTGGGAAGTATCGGGAGGCAAGACCTACATCCACATTCCTATGCTTGTTTAGCCGAGCCAGCCTCTCCGTCGGCGTTTCGATATGTTCAGCAGGCAGATATCCTGACGCTCGTTAACGAGGATCATGCGGGTGTCATCGTTGAACACTCACCAATACTGCCGTCCTTGACGATTCGGACAAGCCACCAGTAGCTGTTACTATCGTCCAGCAGAACCATGTTGTCACCCTTGGCCGCATTCGCCTGACCGTCCACAGTCGCAACGAAGTTATGCAAGGCGTAGACGAATTCAAAGTCGATATCGTCTGTCCTAAGTCAGTCATCGTCACCTGAACTGTGGTCGATCGGAAGTAGATCCTGGCTTTTCAAGATATGAACGCACCATCATCAATAGAAGGGGAGCTCGATATTTTATCCATCAACTCGTCATCCAGCAGATCATCATCATCCTCCTCGCTGTGTTCAATGTCTTCAGCCTGCCCACGCGTATCACTGGCATCTTGGCCCATACCCAGCCCGATTTGGATATCCTCTGTATCGTCGTAGATATCAGCCCCGTCGTTGTATCCGTGGCTACGGGGACCGTGTAAGATCTCGGCCTTGGAGTCATAATCGGCATGGCGAATCTCTTGCTCCTGGTGTGGGGCTAGGCCTGTTCCTTCGCTTGTGTGCACGGGGCGTGAATGATCCTTAGCGGAGGGGGCATGGTGATCTTGGAGGTCGAGAGTGTCTAGAAGTCGCGAGTCAGTCGCAGAAAGTCAGGCCAATAGGCATAGCTCAACGGATTGCAAATGACATACCAGCTCGCACAGCATGGGGTCTCGATACGGCTGCCATTGCTGCTGTGTACAGTGTTATATCGGATTGGACGAAACCGGGTTCTCGGGGTATCAGGAGTCTAGGAGCATCGGAGTGGAATCAAAGAGTGCAGATCGACTATGCGCACGGAAAAAACGAAGGTGGTAACGACAGAAGAGCAGAAGGAGAGAACTCCGCCGAAATCTGGAGCAATGGATAGCAAACAATGAAGGAAATGCCACGACCAGCGGCGGGGGTTTATTGTAAGGTACGAGGGATCGCGGAGACTGGTTCCATCCACAGGACGAATAATAGAGTTCTCCGATAAGGGCCAGGCGGGGGGTGGCGCCGTGGTAGAAGCGAAGCGAGAAAAAAAAATTACAACAAAAAGAGCGAAAGGCAAAGGACACGGGGCCTTGTTGCAGCAAGTGAGACTCGACGGCTTCCCCGGACTACTCAAGACATCAAGAGAGAAAGGAGGTCCAACATGGATCGTTCTCCGTCCCCCGAAGCTGGAAACGCTCCTTGCGCGCGCTTATCCACCGCCCGCAGCCTCCGTGTCTGGACGCAGCCAGGTCTAGCCGGAGATGGCTTAGCGCGTATCAATCTTATTTAGGGCTCAGGGTTCTGATTCTCCAAAGTACCTGTACAACAGCTTGGTCTTATTTTGGATTAAAGTCTGGTGTTTCAGCTGTGAAAGCTGGATTGATCTTGTCTGGGCTGTCAGTTATCGTAGCAGTTCCATCCTCAGTCCGAACAGCAACATCGATATCCATGGATCTCTGCACCTACTACTAGGTACTGTATGCCAGACTAATTTCCGGAGTGATCCACTAAACTGCTGGCTAGAGCCTAGGCTCTAGACTAAATCTATCATTATTCATTACTCACAGTGTTGGACTGCATTCTTGGCCACTGTATTTCCCAAGTACCTACTATTGGTCATCATCTTGACAGAACAATAACCCGGTTCAAATGAACATGCAAGGAGAAGAGGCAAGTTTGACCATGTAGGTACCAATTCAATTAACCGAATCCAAGCCGCTGTGAAACTGCTGTTACCATGACTTCAACAAGGCCAGCTATGTGTCGTCTGCCCCCAGTGATAGTCCCTTGAATGGTTTCTCCAGAACGAATATTTTCCACAATAGCCACTGCAGCAAAATGGATAGGATGTTCCAAGGCCCGCTCGCTACAAGTCATAAACCATGATACACCGATATGATCCCTTGCCGCCCGAATTTCCTTGGGTTACAATGCTGGCTCAGGCGGAATATACACCCAGTCGCATCTTTCTCTCCGACACGGCGTGGCATTGCAGAGGCACATGTAGCGGTGTACATGAACATCCTCAGGCTGTTGTGCTGTTCTCTTCAGGCAGTGATGTAAGATTCCAAATGCATCATCAAATATTAGTATCTCCTCAGTACCGTAATATAGATCGACGATGCCGGTCTTGGTTCTTCAACGCCATTGTATATAGCAGAATCTCTAAGAAAATCATATTCCTCAGTCGAGTACGCCAGAGTGGTCACCATTTGTCAAGTCAACAAATCAGTCAGTCTGTGGTTTCTGTGGCATTGGCCTGGATACAGTGCTCGATCACCTGTCGGATCACCCTGTGCAGACACTCGACTTCATACTTCAAGAGGCATACCTAGTATATTTGTCTATCACCGATGTTCCCTGGTCTTCTGAATCCCCGCCTCGTAATGCCCTCACTACAAGATTTCATGAGAAACGACCATTTCCAAACATAACAGCAGCATAACGGGATTTGTGTAGAGTGCTGTAAACAACAAGCCAGCCTGGGAATCAATCAAATAGATTTCCGAGATAAGACCTTGAAGGATGCCTATATCGTTACAAACCTTGGTCATGTCTACCGTTAGAAGCGTACTCTTATATACACGTACTTTCACGTGAAGGTCAGATTAAGCTCATCTTGAAGAAGACAAACCGTCCACCACCCAGTGCCAGGTGACAACCTAAGGTAAGTATACTTGGCGGCGTTGCGACCACGCTAACCTTATTTATACTAGTGCCCATACCTCATCTGAACTTCCCGAGTCCGTCGCTTCAGTTGCATCGCGGACCTTGGATAGAGCACCACGAGCTCACTCACCATAGAAAGAGAGACTACACCTTCAGTAGAACTCTGATTTGTTCCAGATAAACACAGACTTGTCTTTGGTTAGAATCTGATATTCGAAACGAATCCTTCGGCTGATAGGGTAAAATTATGAACATTTCACTTTTTCCCCTCCAAAAAGAACAAAAAATGAAAGGAAACAAAAGACAAAATAAAGCAAAGAAAATGAGCTTTTGCTCACTAGTGAACAGAAAAAAAAAATATGTGACATGTTTTTCATATCAACTTTTTGATCGACCAGGACGGGACTCGAACCCGCAATCTTTGCTTCTACTCTAACACCCTGTCAAGGAAACAAGGGCATTTTTTACATAGGAGAGCAACGCGTTACCATTACGCCACCCGGCCTATATCAGAGACCCGACCTCTCTCGGTGCTTTTGACCTAGATTGACTGGATCAGAGGGGCCGTGGGACACCGTCCCATGTCCGGTTCTTCCGAGTCGTGGTAGTAGTAGCTTGGCAAGATCCATGATTGCAAGGAAGACGAGGGTTTGATAGGGCAAGCGCACGGGGCCGGAGGTGGCTAGGCTTAATTAGGCTAGCGTTGCCGTTGCCATAGTAGAAACTTGGACTCTCACTGGTTGGAGTCCAATGACCCCGCTTTTAACTATTACCTAACTAGCACCTACAGGCTACAGGGCAGGCTGCACAGGGCAGTATTCAATGATTTTCATCATGGCAGTATGGTTAAGTACTAACGAATACCCAATTGAGGTGTGCTCAGGGAGATCTAGAACACTGGATGGAAGGATCCTTCTCTGAGCAACACGCGGGAGAGGATCGTCTGAACACTGGTATGACAATGGACATCGACCATATCAGATGCTTCGTCCAGGGCCGGTTCAACGCCATGCTACCTATATGTGTATGAAGAGAGATAAGAGTGTCTGACAGGGCCCTGCGTTACGTGATAGTATAGGGTCAAGATCCTT